GGGGGGGGGGAGGGGGGTTGTGGATTTCCCTATTGGTTAAACAAGTAAGCCAACACTCTGTGTGTGGGAAGGCAAAAACAAAGGCCAATGCTATTAGTTGTACATTGATCCCTCTGTGCTAGAAAAACATTGCGCTCCGCTCCATGCTGTTAATCCTTTAAACCTGCAAGAAGTCAATACGCGACAGATGAGAAGTTTTCAAGTTCTCTGGACTATGAAAGAGGATACATCTATATGTTACAGGGATTCATTTATAGGTACGTGTCAGGTAGAGTGTGTAAAACAGGATACTCGTATCTAATACGAGTATGTCAAGTTTATGTTTTGAAGGATCCACACAAAGTACCTACACCCTTATCACATCTTCTTGGCACTGATAGCCGGTAGGCCAAGGTAGATTAAGGATCCAGATAACATAGGGATACATAGACCAGCTGAAGGAGATCAAGAAAAATTTACAACATGCCTTCTCTGAAAGATGACCAGATTCGGCACATTCATTGAAGAACACACTTCTCTATATTTATTGACTTTTTAAAGTACAATTTGACAGTTAATTCCAAAACACTTATTTGCTAAATCAACAAGTTAAGGCTTCTAAATGATAGCCTATACAAACGAATGCACGTTATTTATTAATTTGAGAGCATCAGCAATGAGAACATCGCATAGAAATTATAGAAACAAGAACCAAATTTTCTACATTTTCTTAGTTTTAGGGAAACAAACAAACCCAAATGTAGCCATGGGTTCCATGTTCAACAACTTTCAACAACATTTGTTTGATAACCGAGAAATTTATGAGCACTGTTTGAAACTCGGTGGATAATGGGTCCGCCCCTCTACCCTTCTAAACTTAAATTCCAGGCTTCTATCTGCGGCAAGGTTCAAACGCATGATGTATGCTTAACCCACATATCACATGCTGCTTCTTACCACTAGACCCGAGCCCTTTTGGGCAGAACTTTTAACAATTTAACACAGAAAGATTCTGAATAAGACTATACTGCAGTTTCAGTGTTCCAGAAGGAAAAAAGAGGTGTACCAGTAGGACAGAGTAATGCATTCAACGATCACCAATCAAGGAGATTTTATCAAACGAAGACTAAAGAAATCATAGAAAAGCTAAGAGGAGGTAGGTAGATCTGAAGGCCCTGATATATGAAAGGACAGTGGGTAATTTAAACTAAACGATAAGGACATCTAACATAAAAGATATGTTCCCAAGATTCCAGGCTTTTCTTAGCATCAGAGTACAATGCTTACATGGTCCCTAACTAATTCTCGAAGTTATAAAGCTAGTAGTCAGGCTAGGCAAAACAGCAAATTGTCCTTAATTGATTTCATGCTCGAAATATTCAGGCAATAAAGCATAACTAGTGATTCAGTATCCAGTAATCTGAAAGGCACTGGTCCAGTATGCTGAAATGTAACAATCCAGTGCCACTGGATTGTTACATTTCAGTATATATAAGGCCAAATAAGTTCGTATTCTGAACAGGCTTGCTAAGAACCTGATTTAAGTTCAAAAGCCTTTAGATGCTCAAATTTTTTTCTATCATCTTTCGAAGAGTATTGAGATCATTTATTACTAAGGGTAGCAGCAGCATGTCTGAACCTTGCTGTATTGTCAATACCTAAAGTTTAGATTTTTGGATACATATGAACTTCAGCGAATGTGAGATCTGCACGTTTTTCCTTTAAGCCTTGGTAACAATAGTTTTTATCATGGTCAGATGCATGCATGTACTTGACATCAAGCACAAAATAAAAGAAAAAAACACTGTTGATCTGTTCAATTACCTTGTCTCAAGCAGGATTATTGATGGATAGGGCCACTAGATGTCCTTATTTCTACATCTTTACAGTTTCCTTTACAAAAATGGTCAGCTGCTCAGCTGCTGTCAATCTAACTCCGATGGTTGGCAAATGAATAGGCTATAATAAGATTTGTACCTGCTAAGTAGGAGTTATGGCATGTTCCTCATCCCACCAAATCCTCCATCCCCTCCCCTCCCCTTCCTTCCCACTATCATTTTTCCTACGATTTGTTTCTTCCCACTTTCATCTCCAAAATGTCATGTACAAGTGGTTTTATGCTCTACCAAAAATGAATGTAATCAGTCACTTCTTCGATCATAGTAATATGAAATAGAAGGAGAGAGCGTCAATGTGAAAAATGATTGTAAAATGAAAATATGATTTTAGCTGCAAATTGCACACAAATATGAAAATATGAACTAATATCCCTTTTTCCGTCACGCAATCACATATTAATATTTAAAATCTATCTTGATACCAAAGAGCAGCTTGGAACCTGATAATTGGTGCTCTATTGGCAAACTTATCTCCATTAGTTTAAAATAATAGACTTGACACGGACTAAAAGCAAAACCCAAAAAAGGGCCTTCATCTTTTTTTTGGTAACTAATCCATTTGATTAATTACCAAGTGAGAACTTTACAAATCAGCTTGACTACCTCGGTCAGCTCTACCTCTAAAGCTAACCACATATAACAAATCTACTCCAGGTTTCAATTTTAAAGAAGTAGAACATTTATCTAAGATCAGTATTACACAATTTTAGGAATTAGAACAAAGTGGCATGAAAAGTCTAATCATGGTTAAATTGCAATATGATGGTACTGCTTTCATTTGCGAGGCATATCATACCTTTGCAAGGATGAAGTAAGCCTTTGATGCCTTGTTTTAGACGATCCATGCATTGATTGGGAAAGGACATTTTGGTCCGCATTTCAGGCAAATCTACCACCTTCCCTAATGATTCTTTGACCCTTAAGCTTGAAAAAGTCCGCAGAGCCCTTTCTTGCAAGCCAGAAATGCTTGAATCGAGGTAACACCGACTCTCTCTTAGTATACCAGTGGATCGAGCCATATCTATAGCACCACTTCTGGTAGCTGTGAAGGCTATGAAATAATATATAAGTGCATTAATTGACGAACTCATCACACCAGTTCTAAGTCTCAAACAACAGATATCAATCAAATACAAGTAAAAAGAAACAGAAAACTTAAAATGTCCAATTCTTATTGTTTCTGAGCATGACAGTTGGTCCTTTTTACCATTGTAAGGAACTGTATAGATGTAATTGGCAGGAAGGCCAATGCCAATGCCGAGCAGAGAGAAGCCAACGCTGAATCCAACACCACAGCCAGCTCCAACATAACCAATTGCCTCAGGACCAAATCCGGGACCCCATCCCACACCACAGCCAATACCTATTCCCATGCCCCAGAAGGCTCCGTATGTAGGATGCACTGGATTCCATCTTTCATATCTCCTCAGCATGCCCTTTATAATCATTTCTACCTACAATTACAAAACCATTAGTCTATGAATACTTTGAGAGATAACTTAAAATTACCAAAATGAAAAATCCCAAGTCGGGAGAGGCTTTTTTCTTTAGGGAATTGGGTCAATTTTACGCCATGTGGGAATTGTTTTTTTTTTGTTGTTGAGAAAAAACACCCTTTGAAGAGGAGCTTTGGTGCAACGGTAAAAGTTGCCATTTTGTGATCAGGTAGGTCACAGGTTCAAGCTGCGGAAACAACCTCTTGTAGAAATATAAGGTAAGGCTGCATACATCGGACCCAATGTGGTCCAGCCCTTCACTGGACCCGGCGCATAGCGGGAGCTTAGTGCACCGAGCTCCCCGTTTTCTTTTAAAAGAACGGCATTTGTGAAGTTATCCTATCAAAGCTTTCTAACAGTGTGGAACACACTATGGAATTTTATTTACTTCTTTGGAGGCTCTATGCTTTCTCATTTTTGTACTAATTCTTCCATTTATCCCAGTTAGCCATCAAGTTGTGGTAAAAAAGGATCCATTTAGTAACTTGAAAGTTAACCAGAAATTTAACCCCTTCATTCCCAGTTTTGTTCGAGCCCCTCCATAAGTGGCGGAGCTAAAGAGTAAGGAAGAAGGTTTAATTGAATCCCAACATTCTACTAAACAAGTAGAGTAAAAACAAATCATTTTTGTATGACGGTAGTGTCCAGGCCAGCTCTCGCACACCTCGACTATTCCATCGGGTACTTGCTACCTCATACTAACACATGTATCAAGTAACTCTACCCACTACGGCTTAGATATCGGGTAACTGTACCCACTATTCTATGGGGTTCCTTACTGTGTTTTGCCTCCACTAGATATCTTTGTATATATATAAAATGTTTAATCCTTAAGGGAAGCTTCTTGGTATGACATTTTTTGCATTTATTTGAATCCTTTATCGGAATTTCTGCCTCTGCCACTAGCTTCCATAACCCAGAAACTACCATTAGATTTTGTTAACACCCCTAGCAGATAAACCCTATAATATTAAGTGAAAAAACACAAGTAATGCTCTTGAAAATTAGGGAAAAATCAAGAACAGAAGAGCCCCAAAAGCCTTCTTTAAACAACAAGAAATGAAATGGACAATTTAGAAACTAATAAGTAAGAGCACAGAAAGTAAAGAGATTAAGGTTCTACCATGAAAGGGTGCGCAAAAGCGGACTCTCACTGCAATGCTCTGGAGACTTCAGTAGTGCTGAGGGAGCGGTATTGAGACATTTTTGAAATTGATCCAAATTTTGTTACATTCTGATTGGTAATAGGAAATATGATGCAGGTCCTTGTTGGCTTCAGAAATAAACACTAGTAATCTCTTATGGCCAATATCGATTCTATGTGCCTATCCACATTTCTGAGTGTCCCTAATACAGGTAAAAGTACAATAAAGACCCATAATTTTTGTAGAATAGGTACTTTATTCCTTCAACTAAATTATATGTCATTCTAATTATTGGAACTTCCAAAAGAGTACAGCAACCTCTTGCTATAGCGGGTAATAAAACAACATATAAAATTCTTTTGCACTTATAATATATATGTGTGTGAAAAATGGTCAAATTTGTTCCGTACAATTCAAAATTGAGTAACTTTATTATTCATTAAAATTTTTATTTATTATTAACCTGCCATTAGGAAAAAGTCTCATCTCCCTTGACCCTATAAAGAAGCTCAACCAAAGAGTAATATTGAACCATAATCAAAAGTTGGGACGTAAATTTGAATTTTTTTTCTAGAATAATTTAGACAGATAAAGTAAAATATTTTACACTGGAGCTTCGTCAATGACGAGAGCAAATACAAAAAATTTGATAACAACAAAAATATAATAATGCGAAATTGAGCGATTTCTAATAGTATTAGGACGAATTTGAACTTTATCTGATATATGTAAGTGGTAAATATCTTCTATTAAAGCGTGTATATATATATATATATATATATATATNTTTGAAATCAACTTATCAGCAGGGGCAATATAGTAATTTCAAAAATGGCTGAAGCTATAGATAAGCTTTCTCAAAATCTAGAACAAAGGCATCACCACCAACCAATTAGAACAATGTCAAAACTGAAGAGATTGTAAAGAGGGTAGTGAAGAAAAGTTATGGAAACATGTTCATTTCCAAGACTAGTACTATCCCCCTTACAATTCCCACCTCCATTAACCTCAAAAAAACACTTCCTTCAATTCCCATTACCTAAATCCAAACAACTACATAAAAGTACTCCATCTCATTTATCAAACTTCACACCTCTCTTTGCCACTCTCAATTCTCCAAAAGGATTTGGACCTAAGAAAACCAAAAAATCCAAGAAACCAAAAAAAGAATATGAAGAAGAAGAGGAAGATGATGATGAGCAACAAGAAGGAGGAGTTATACCAGAAATAGTGACTAATAGAATGATAAGCAGAATTGGACTTTCAGTTGGTATACCTTTGTTTATTGGTTTATTGTTTTTTCCTTTCTTTTATTATCTTAAGGTTGGATTAAAGATTGATGTGCCAACTTGGATACCCTTTATTGTGTCATTTATCTTCTTTGGAACTGCCTTATTGGGAGTTAGTTATGGGATAGTTTCCTCTAGTTGGGATCCATATAGGGAAGGCTCATTCTTGGGTTGGAATGAAGCTAAGAAGAATTGGCCTGTTTTTTGGCAGTCAATTTGGGGTGGATCAAGAAACAAGTAGTAGGACTTTGGCTATCCATCTCTTTTAGCATAGACCTATTGTAACAATTCGGTTTTCAAATGGTTTGCGTTTCAGATTGTGATTGTCTAAGGCTTATTCTATGTCCGAATTTTATATTAATTTGTGTTAGTTCAAGCACTGTATATATACGATTTAAAAATATATTGTTATACATGGAAAAATTAAGAAACTTATTACTCCATGTTTGATTTCATTTCACATTTTTTTGTTATTTGCAAACTAAAATTTGCTTATCTATCAGATTGAGACTCTGAATCATTTTGTTCAAGTTTAATTCACCTGGTAGCCTTAAAAAAGCATTGGATCTGGATAGTGTGCATGTCAATAAAGGGGAGCCTCGAAGTCAAGTTTTCTCCGTTTGACCTATCGATTATGAGTTTGAGCTTGAGCTGTAGAATCAACCACTGGTACTTGTGTTAGAATAAACAACCTACAACACCCATCGGGATGTATAAGCACGTAATTTTTGACCCGTCGCGTTTTCGAGCTATTTTAGTGTTTAAAATATTTATTTAACTTAACTTTAATTTTTATGGAGTTTCAGTCAATTTTTACTTCAAATTACAATTTAAAAACTCAAAAATATTTTCATTTTTAGTTTAAGGTCAGTTAGTATATTTATGTTTGTAGTATTTTAATTTTACCATTGACTTTAGCCTATTTTCTCTATTTTTACTTTATTATAATATTTAAAAATACAAAAAATAGTTTTACTTTTAATATTTAATTTTATTTTAGTAATTTATTAAGAATGATTTTTATTAATACATTATATTATTTTAGTCTTCTTACCCCAAAATTTAAACTCAACAAGACCTGGACCCAACCCAATTTTCTAAATCCAAGCCCAATCCCTTAACCCTAAGCCCCTTCCCCCTACCTAAAGATAAATACACACACAAAGAAATAAGGGGGAAAAAAAAACAAAAATTCCTAAGCTAAGAAACGGCAGATCCCCGCCTGGGGAGATCTTCTTCTTGTTCTCAAAATCAAAAAGAAAAAGAGCAGCACACACAAACAAAACAAAGAAACAAAAACGAAACAAGGGAAGTGAGAAAAACAAAAACAGGAAATTAGATTTCAAAAAGGAAAAACAAAATCCTCCCCCCTGTTTCTTTGCTTCTTTGCTTCAAATTGGAGCCAATCGATGCTGTTCCTTCTTCTGATCTTCAACACGCGAAGCCACTGTCCAAATTAAGCCGAGTCAGTGGAGCTCATTCGAGGTTTCCGGCGTGTCTTGTTGATGAACCGTTCCATTCAATTTCGTAGGCGTGTTCTTCTCATCATCTTGTAAACAGCCAGAAAGCTTTTTGATAAATTGGAAGCTATAAAAGGTCCCCTTCTCCCTTTAATTAATTCTTTCATTTTATTCCTGTTAGTTTGAGAAAGGTTCAGTCGATTCATCGTGTTAGCATGAGTTTGTTTATTGTGTTAATTAGCTAATTGATCGTCTAGATAAATATTTACAATTTGTCTATACCATTGCATCTCCAGTGTTTCTATTTTGAGCATGTGTCTTTGAGTTAAGCATTATTTTATCATTAGTTTATTTTGTAAAAGTTTAAAAAAGAAAGCTCTAAGGAATTTTATTAAGTCAAATGGGCTGATATGATTTGTTGCATATGGTTTGGGCCTTACTTTGTCAATAACGATAAATGGATTGTATGTGTTTGAGAAGAATTCAGGTGATATCTTTAAGTTGTCATTTTCTTGCTGGCTTCACATGGTATTAAAATGTAATTATAATCTTTCAAGGTCATCCTCTTTGTTTATAATTGTAGTTTGCTTTAAGCACGTAAATAAATCATCGTGACTATGGGTACGGTTCCCGTGGCATAGTCATGATACGTAAATCCCAATTCGAGTGTGCGTTTCACGTGACTCGACTATAACTTTAAATAATAATAAAAATAAACATGTTGTAAATCACGGGTGTGTTTCACGTGGCGCGATTCGCAATGTGTACAAAAACAAACGAGCGCGCGACATCGCGACTTGTTCAAATAATTTCTATAAATACTAAAAGAGGTTTAAAAGGTTAAAATGCACAATAAGTTTTAAACATGTAATAAATCAGATAATTAGGCCAATTATTAATAGTTGAGCGACCGTGCTAAAACCACGGAACTCGGGAGTGCCTCACACCTTCTCTCGGGTTAACAGAATTTCTTACCCGGTCTTTTGATTTCGCGGACTTTAAAACAAAGTCAAATTTTTCTCGATTTGGGATTTAAAATAAACCGGTGACTTGGGACACCATAAATTATTCCAAGTGATGACTCTGAATAAATAAATAATCCCATTTCGAATATTATCACTTTAATTGGAAAAACTCCCATATCCCCCATCCCCTAGGGAAAAAGGAGGTGTGACAGCTCTGGCGACTCTGCTGGGGATCGAACCCAGAATCTCTGGTTCAGGATTCAGAATTCGAGCTTAGAATAGCTGTTATGATTGGCTTTCATGATTATCTGATTTTTACGTATTTGAGCCTAATGTGCTAAATGCCGATTTTTTTTTACCGCTTTGATATTGTGTGAATTGTATATAAACTACTACGAAACCATTCTTCTCTCTGAGTCTTCTAAATCTTCTGGGAAGCGTGCGCTTCGCGTGACTTCTTTTCTGTTAGAGTCATATCCTAATTTTAGAACGAGGTTCGGACAAGTTGCAAAGCCGGTGAAGCTTCTGTATTTCCGGTACGCTGCCCCCCTCGGCTCGAGTTGTCCGCTCGGGTAAGCCAGGTCTAGAATAATACACCCATGATTTAAACTTAGAATAACATAGCCTCATGTCGGATCCCTAGTAGGAACATTTGTTTGCATCACGTGCATTTGACTTTGGGGACTCAACACAGGGGTTGGGTCCGTCTAGGACAGATGTACCCAAATTAAAAAGACTATCCTGATGCATCTTACTTGCTACTTGCGCAGTTGTTTGTTTCGGCTTGCATGTTCACTGGCTTCTAGAATAAGGAAAGAAAATAAAAATAAAAAATGAAAAAAAGAGTGAGGTAGGTATTTGAAATCCGAAACTCTGCCAAAATTTTGAAAAAAAAAAAGAGAAAAGAAAATAAGCCAATGTTTTCAAAAAGTTATGTTTCCCTGTTCAGTCAAAACTGGCAGAACTACGCTGGTCTGATTCTCACCGGATGTGAGATACGTAGGCAAACCTCATCGGTTCCGGCCCACATTTTTTAAAAATCCAAAAATATTTTCCTTTAATTCCTTATTTAGGAGTTTTTCTTTAGAAAATCCCAAACAAATAAAAAATAAAAAAAATTTTAAACCAAAAAATATTTTATTTGTAGGAGTCTTTCATTAGAAAAAGAAAACAAATGAAATCAAAATCCAAAAAAATATTTTCTACCTTTTTTTAGAAGTCTTTTTCCCAAAATTCAAAAACGAAAAATCAAAAATACAAAAAATAATTTTTGACCCGTCGCGTTTTCGAGCTATTTTAGTGTTTAAAATATTTATTTAACTTAACTTTAATTTTTATGGAGTTTCAGTCAATTTTTACTTCAAATTACAATTTAAAAACTCAAAAATATTTTCATTTTTAGTTTAAGGTCAGTTAGTATATTTATGTTTGTAGTATTTTAATTTTACCATTGACTTTAGCCTATTTTCTCTATTTTTATTTTATTATAATATTTAAAAATACAAAAAAT